TAACGCCTGACACAGGCCTTCTCACTATCTGGGAGAAGAGGTCCTCAAAGCTAGATCTAAAGTGATCTAGATCACCCCAAAAATACAGTATTTGGACAGGCGGGGAATGAAACTGACAAAATAGCTAGTGTTTCAATATACAGTGAAGGGATTACACAATTGGGTGTGAATTTGAGCTTAGTGGTAAGTACATATAAAATTATGTACTTAGGAAAAAAAAGGCTGAGCATAGTGGCACAAGCCTGTAGTCCCAGTTACTTGGGAAGCTGAGGCAGAAAGATCACTTGAGCCCAAGAATTCAAGGCTGCAGTGAGCTATGATCATGCCTGTGAATAGCCACTGCACTTCAGTCTGAGCCATGAAATGAGACCTCGTCTCGAAGAAAGAAGGAAAGAAGGAAAGGAAAGAAAGAAAGGAAGGAATAAATTTTTTTTTTAAAGTCCAAGATAAATAACCGTGGAGAAAATAAAAATAAATTTCTTTTCTTTTTCCCCTAGACGAAGTCTTGCTCTGCTGCCCAGGCTGCAGTGCACTGGTACAATCTTGGCTCACTGCAACCTCCATCTCCCAGGTTCAAGCGATTCTCCTACCTCGGCCACCGGAGTAGCTGGGACTACAGTCCTGTGCCAGCATGCCCAGATAATTTTTTTTTTTTTAAGTAGAGATGGGATTTCACCATGTTGGCCAGACTGCTCTCAACCTCCTGACCTCAAGTGATCTGCCTGCCTTGGCCTCCCAAAGTCCTGGGATTATAGGCATTATGAGCCACTGTGCCTGGCCAAAACAAAATAAATTTCAATAAACATGGAAAGACATGCCATATTTTTCAATAGGAGGACTCAGTGAACAGTCTCCCTCGTCAATGACCATCAAAATGCCAACCTTTTTTTTTTGAGACAGAGTCTCGCTCACTCTATCGCCCAGGCTGGAGTGCAGTGGCATAATCTCGGCTCACTGCAAGCCCCACCTCCCGGGTTCACACCAATCTCCTGCCTCATTCTCCTGAATAGCTGGGAATACACGCACC